GGGGGTGAGTAAAGGAAATGAGAAAGATCCAATGTGCAAATCAATGTTTATGAACTTTATCAGTAGACTAGTATAAATTTTTATTAAAACAAATAAATACATACACACATACTAGCAATAACCAAACAGTAATCTGTCACTAACAATTATCAGTTCTCAAACTCTAGCCAAGTTAATCTGATTCCCAACTTTTTTCATCTGGAAAACCGAGATAACATTAACAATGTTCCTCTTCCGATAAAAGAAGTTCTCTGTATATGCAAAGTTTATGCATACAACAATTACCTACAAAAGTAAGCCATAACTACATTAACATTACAATTATGTTATTATGTGTCCTCGAGTCAGAACTAACTCATAGTTGACTAGTGGGTTTTCAGGGGCAGGAGGAGACTTTCCATCTTTCTCCCACGGCGCAGCTGGTGAAATCAAACCATGTGCCTTTAGATTGACAGCACAGTTCCTTACCACTAAGCCACCAGAGCTCCCTAAATTATTACTACTCTTATTCATTCTTTGCACCATTATACAAAGTCCAGCTATCCCTTTTCTTTTTCTCCTTCTTCCCCCAAAAGGAGATACATTCAATGACAACCCCATCTTCCATAAAGGTATTAACGGGCCAAAACTCTTCAGCCATGTGAAATTTTTACTACCCTCAATGAGATGAATTGATTCAGTGACTAGGGTAATAGGGGTAAGTGTGTCAGAGACAATAAGATTGGCACAGGATAGAGCAGGCTTTAGGGCTGTTGTACATAGAGTAGCTATGAGTCATAGGCAACTCAAAAGCACCTAACACCAACAACACTATCATAGATCGTAAGCCAAGTGCCTATTGTGAAGGCAAGGAGCAAGTCTCAGCTCAAGAGGAGATCTGGGCACAGCCTAGCATTACAAGCTTGATTCACTTTCCACATTGGAGAGTCCTAGAAGTCAGCAATCTAAAGCTGTCCCACTGGCAAGCCATGAATCAGCCCACTGACCAGCACAAAGCAGGCCGACCAGTTGCCAATAGATCAACTCTGACCCCACCTGCGTCAGAGCAGAACTGTGCTCCACAGGGTTTTGAGGGGCTGATTTTTCATTCATTCATGTAGACACATGATCTAGTGATAAGTAGCTGCACTGCCAACCCAAAGGTAAGTGGCTAGAAAACAGCTGTGCAAATGGAGAAAGGTGGGCAATCTCCTCTCGTGTGATTTACAGCCTCTGAAAACCCACCGGAGGGTCAGCTATAAGTCAGTTCCAACCGGCAGGCACATTATAATTAACAACAAAATATAGACACTGGGGCTCCCTTCCAAAATACTTCCAGGTAGACTAGAGCACAGCATAGCATGGTTAGCAGCAGACTGTATCAGCCATGTGTACCACCCAGGATTCTATGGAATGAATACTCTCTAAAACTACACTGACTGAGTAAGTACTAGATTTCAGAGTCTGAAGTCTGAGCCTCTGGGTTTGAAGCCTAGTTTTTCCATACACAGCTGTGCCCACTAAGACAGGCAGCAATCTCCTGAGCCTATAAAGCATTTCTAAAACAGCCATAAGGTGATCTATCTCATAGGGGAATAGTGAGAATTAAATGAGGCAATGCAGGTGAAAAACATCTGGGCTCCTGTTTGATAATTAAGAGCATAGAACCTCTGTCATCCAGATGTCCTTCAACCCTTAACCTTAACCTTTCGGTCTCTGCAGAAACCCAAAAATGAGCAACATTCAGGCAAAGGGCCACTCCATCCACTGTTGATCTGAAAAACTGCCAACCCTTGGGAGAAAGAAAAACCGCACTGGGCTCATTTTCCAAGGGTACCTGACAAGGCAGCAGCGATACAATACATTTGCATTTTATAGCCTGTGCTTTTCCAAAACAAGGAAAGGAGTGTGATTTGGACTTAACCCTGAAAGTTCGGGGATTGTGCAGTTACACGGACATTGCTCTACTGGGATGTGGAAATCAGCCAGAGAAGGGGCCCGCCTGGCACCACGGAACAGAAAAGTATTTGCTTCCACTTTTTTTGAGTTCTTGACTGACATGGTGGTTGATTGTGCTTGTGTCCAGCACTGATTACCAAGGACTGGGAGTTAGGACGTGGCCTCAAAGTCAGCCTCTGCCCAAGGAATCCTCACCATTTCCCTCCTGGCCTACCTTCTCTACATTACAGTTCTCCAAGCAGAATCCCTGGCCTCCAATTTGTCAAGTTTGCATCAGGAACACAACTTGTACTGGCTGTAGCTCCCTCTCTGGCACACAACAACAACTTAACAACTTCGGTAATTAAGGGAGTCCTGGTAGCATGAGGGTTAAGCATTCAGCTGTCAGAAAGGTTAACAGTTCAAACCCAATGAAGGCTGACATGAGAAAGACCTGACGATCTGCACACATAAAAATCACAGACTATGGGGCAGTTCCACTCTGTCATAAAGGGTCAGAAACCACTCAGGGACACACAGCCACAACTCTTCTTACCTAGCATCACTGTCAATGAATGCAAGGATGTTACTATAGGAATGACATCGTGCAAACCCAAACATTTGCTTAGAAAAGCAACTGCACACTTTAAATTGGAAAGGAGGGTAAGATCCAGCAAGCTTTTGGAAGCCTTAAGCCTAGGAGTTCTCAATCTGACCCGTCACCTGCACTGAATCACCTGGAATGCTTATTAAAGATGCATGTTCCTAGGTTGTCCCAGATCTACCAAATTAGAAATGGAGTGACAAAAATTTTTAATACCCTCCCCTAGTGATTCTTACGGCACTAGATTTCCACAGCTGATGTTCAAACCCTAAACTGGGACCAAAGTAGAAAGAATGACTAGAAAAGACTGAAAATGCATAAAACCAGTTTAACACTGATGTCCCTTCGTACTCTCATTCTTGCAAAACAGGGCAGTGTTGAATCAGAGAGAGAAATGTCGATTTCTCAGTTTACGTACTTCTAGGAAGATTAAATCACCACCCTGACAAAAATATCTACCTTAAAAATGTTAAATGCATTCACTAAATCAAAAGGTTCAGACAAAAACTAACCCAAACACCCCCTCTTAACCCTTCGAGACCTATCCTGAGAGGGGCAAGCTAGCATCTCAGCTGCAGTCCTGCTCTGGTCCCGATCATATGCAGTAAATCAGCTCTAATTCTGCAGAAGTGTCTGCTGCCTACAGGGAAGAGGCTGTCAGTGGAGCCTCCTGGTTCTAGCAGATAAGGCTGGAAAAAGGTTGTTACTCAGGGGGAAAGAAGATAAAAAGAGTAGGAGGGGTTTGTAGTGTCGTTCAGATCCAGGAGAAGGGAGATCATCTAAAGATAACTGACACCATCAAGCATATATCACACACTCAAAAAATATTTATTTAGTGATTTCAAGGAAAATGACACCTGACGAAATAATCGCGGCATGAGATACTAACATCTTGCATCTGCATAACAGGAGCAAAGAGTTAAACTGTCTCTATGTCAAAAGTATTAAGGTATTGAAACCAGCAAGTGAAACAGTACTTAAGAGTAATGAGTTCACAGTAGGTGCTTTGTATTGCTAGATCTTAAGTTGGGGGGAACAGGGTGTTGATAATCAGTGTCATAAAGGAAGAGCAGAATGCTTTTCCACAGATAATCACTCTTCCCAAGTGACACCTAGACGTCCAGCTAGAATCTGAAAAATCTGAATGTCTCATTCAAGCAGGTAGGTGCATCATAGTCAGGCAGCCTTCTTCACAGCTGATGGTCCAGGGGAGCAGCCTGGACATCCTCCCACCCATCCAAAGGCTGGACCTGGGGCTTTGGTCTGAGTGCTGAAAATTCTAGTCACCCTTGCTACATTCTTCAGCAGAAGTGCCCTGCTAACTGCTGAAACTTATCAAATGGGAATCTCTCATGTTTCCACCCTCAATGACTGGCACTTGCAATAGAGTCTTGGCAAATGAAGCATTTAGGAAGCTACTCTTACATTTGGCTGGTTACCTGGAATCTAGAGAAACACGCTTGAACTCTGATGAGGAAAATACTTTTCTTCAAGCAGGAAGCCAGCAGTCACCTTCTAAAAAAGACTTGCTGAAAGCACCACTCTTATGGGAGCCCAGCAGGTAAATAAACCCAGACCTTCCCTAAACTGATTCTAAAGGGCCAGGTGTCCAGGCTGCACTAACACGCCCGTCTCTCTTCAGAAGCAAAATCCGGGAAGTAACTCAATCCAGTTCTAGGCGGGTAAGGATGGGGGAGTCTGCAGGTGGGAGGAGGGAGGTGAAGCAATACCGCTCAAACTTTGCAGTTGCTCCTTAACAGTTCTGGAGGAGAACTCGCGGAATTGCATTGAGAAAGGGTAGTCACCCTCCATATCAAAAAAGGATCCTCATCAGCTTATCCCACCAGCTCTACTTCCAGGCTGGCTGTGCATCCCATCCACTCAGACACGACCCCTCCTCTACAGGACTCTCTCCCTTGCCCTCCTCACCTTGGCCTCAAAGCAGATGCCGTGCTGGAACGCGTCCTCGTTGTGCAAGGGGATCCGCAGGTCATGTCCATCATCTACAAGGTTGTACTTGGTTTTGCTGGGCATGGTGACCCGAGGTGGACGCGCTTCTTCAGCGGCGGCGGCTGCTACAGGAAAGGAGCTGTTGAGACCTGGCGAGGAGAGGCGGGAGCCGGGAGCAGCGGCAAGAGGAAAGGGCTTTGACCGGGGACACGGGGCGGGGGCGCCCTGACCGCGCAGAGGCGGCCGCGGGAACCGGGACCCTAAGCGAAGCCGAGGGCCGAGCGGGAACGGGCGGCACGGATGCGGGCGACGCGAGC